AATTTCCTTCTCCCTCAAGATAATCAGAAGTTTCCTCCTCCCTCAGGATAATTAAAAGTTTCCTTTTCCCTCAGGATAATTAAAATTTTCTTTCTCCCTCAGGATAAGTGAAAATTCCCTTTTCCTTCAAGATAACCAGAAGCTTCCTCCTCCCTTGGGATAACCAGGAATTTCCTTCTCCCTCAGGATAATTAAAATTTTCCTTTTCCCTCAGTATAACCTGAAATTTCCTCTTCCTTCTGGAAAACCAGATTTCTTCAGGAAAACCAGGAATTTCTTCTCCCTTCATGAAATCCAGGAACCAGCCAATCCCTTGGTAAACCAGAAATTTCCTCTTCCTTTGGGAAAACTGGGAAGTAGTCTCTCCTTCCAGAGAGTAAGATTTGCTTTTCCTTGGGAAAATCAGGATTTGGGCTTTTCCTCAGGAAAAACAGAAATTGCCTTTCCCCTTGGGAAAACCTGGAGATTCCTTTTCCCTTGGGAAATACAGGAACCAAAGGTTCCCTCTGGAAAAGCAGGAAATTAAATTTTCCCTCTGGAAAAGCAGAATCCAGCCTCCCCCTCAGGAAAAGAAGGAACTGCTCTATCTTTTAGGAAAAAAGAAATTCCCTTTTTCCTTAGGAAAACCAGGAACCAGCTTCTGCCTCTGGGAAAAAAAACACCCAGAAATTTCCTTTTCCCACTGGGAAAAAAAGAAATGTCTTTTTCCCACTGGAAAAACAAAGTTAATTTTCCACGGGAGAAGGAAGTTCTTTTCCCTCATGAAAACCAGGAAGGGGCCTCTTCCTCAGGAAAAATTTCCTTTTCCAGCAGGAAAAATGGAAACCAAACTTTCCCTCCAGAAAACCAGAAATTCCCTTTTCCTCAGGAAAACCAGGAACCCGCCTCCTCCTCAGGAAAAACACGTATTCCTCTTTTTTTCCCCAGGAAAACCAGGCAATTCCTTTTCACTCAGGAAAACCAGGAACCTGCCTCTTCCTCCAGAAAATCTGTAATTCCTTTTCTTCCCTCAGGAGTTGTCAGAAAATGGACCATCCTTCAGGAAAAGGGGAAATTTCCTTTTCCTTCAGAAAAACCTGGAATTTTCGAAAACCAGAAACTTCCTTTTTCCCTTGGAAAAACAAGGAAATAGCCACTCCCCCGGGAAAAACAGGATTCTCCTTTTCCAGCTGGAAAACCTGGAATCGGTGTCTCCCTCAGGAAAAACAGGAATTTAATCTTCCCTCGGGAGAATTAGAAAGCAGCCTCTCCCCCTCTGGAAACACAGACATTCCCATTCCCCTTTAGGAAAACTAGAAAATTCCCTCTTCCTCTTAGGAAAACCAGAAAACGGTTGGAAATCCAGGGATTTCCCTTTCCCTGGGGAAAACAGGAATTTTCCTTCTTTCTTCTGGAAAACTAACAATCTCCTTCTCCCTCTGGACAACCAGACACCAG